TGGTATCATTTGTTCTTTCCATTTCCCATCAACACGATCACGGCGCCGTTTGGCCACTTGCACGTATCTACTGCCGTGTTTCTTTTCAATAGAATGCGTGATAGTTTCAATGATGTTTGCTTGGTCGACTGTGGGCGCTGTTTTGTCGTTCATACGACTGTACACTTGATGCCTTTTCGTGACTGGAGAAGGTACTGGGAGCGGTGGTAAAACTGAACAAGAACTATTTGTTCTCATTCTCTGAAAACATTCACACGAATCCATTTTCTCAGCGTAGCGCACTCTTTCCATAGCTAGTTGGTGTCGGACATTATATATTTCTTTTAAACTTAATGTATGAAGGCTATACAAAAAAGAAAGAATATTAGATGCAAATGTCACAAAATGTTTTCTTCTTACACCGTATTTAACATAAACTATGTAAGACTAATAAGAGGAGAGTACGTGAAACTCACCATATATATCGGGGTCTCCCAGACATGGTGGGAAAGGACACTAGGTCAATATTCCACCTATCCGGAGAACACGTATCGGGCTTTGCCCATGGATATACTGAAATTAAATACAACCGAAAATAAAATAAAATAAAATAAAATTACATTACATATAACATTACATAAAATGACATAATGAACTAAAACATAACGTAAAATAACGTAACAAACTAACGAAATATGCATATCATTTCACCGTGAGAAAACGTCCACCACGACAAAATAGAAAACAAATCAAGGAACTGCTAAAATTCGTCTTAGAAAGACGTTATCAGCGAAAACTTTGTAAAGACCCATTATTTCACAGAATGAACTCACCTGTTGAAAACATGTTATACGATGTTTCAGATGATAACATATTTCAGAGAGTTATGTGGAAATAACTTCAGTCTTTAGAGAGTTTTTTATAGAATGCCTCCTGGGAGAATGCTCTTCTTTGAACGTTTCGCAATAGAACAAATTTCATACTGCGCACCTGACAACGCGCATAACGTTCTTATTCAAGAGTTCGGGCAACAAATGGCAACATGCGTTCGTATCTACATTTTCATATGTTGTTGTAGCCCAGCCATACCAATTTTATTTTATTTATGTTTTATTGTGATATTTTTTTTAATCTTGGTCCCACGCAATAGGTTTTACAAATGCTTTCATAGAGGCAACTATCATATAAAGAAATAAATTTGCTATTGTTGAAGGGTCAATGACCGTAACGTCTAGTCATTTTATAGTTATTTCGGACAACGATTGGCAAAAGTAAATTCGCTTGTATTTTATTTGGCATTTCCACCTATTAAATCGGGTAAATATGTTATCATACCAAATATTTTGTTTCAAAAGTGTTGGATTTAGATTAGACAAATCATTGTTTCGTATTACAAATTTGCATTTTTGGAAATTTCCACAGGATTCTATGTAAAAGCATAATTGCATGAAAAATAAATAGTATATAATACTCACGAACGATCTTAAAGACATTATGTTTATTTTTTCGA